ATTGTAATTTGTATTTTATAGGTATCGTAGCATTTTTAGGACGAACAATATTATATACCTATGTATAGATATAGGTATTATTTTATCGAACACTCGGCTTGCTTACCTCGATAGAAAATATCTAATTGACTCGCCGCTTTGGTCCTGGATGTAAAGAGCCTTGATATAATCTTGTACTAATGTGCGAGCCGTCAGTGTTCTCGCGAAGTCCTAGAAAGTCCGAAAAAACGATCATGAACATAATATAGAGTAGAAATTTGTAATAATTTTATTAACCGTATACTCACAAAATTATGTTTGAGTATTCTTGTTATGGTGTAAACTAAGGAATCTTTAATAATAGGTAGGCTACTTTGGTCTTTACAATGATGCGATAAAAACGAACACATTTCGGCGGACGGGGGACAGTCTTCAATCAACGGGCGCAACGTACCGATTAGAGCTTTTTCCCACGATTGCTTGCAATATTTTTCTTGGTCCTAGGAGTAAAAAAATAATATATTTAGATATTTAAATATTGGCAGTTCTAAAATCGTAATATTAATAATAAATTTAATTTTAACATTTAAATAGAAACATACTCTTGTCATTAGCGTACTCGCAATAAAAGTTGGCATATGAAATATTTCATCATCGACCAATGGAATGTTTTTGGCAAAATCCACTATATTCTGTTAAACACATAAAACGTTTAAACGTTTTGAAGGGACAACGCAATTAGGTATTAACAAGACGAATAATATCATTATTGTTACACATTACCTGCAATTCTTTTAACATATCGTCTGGATCGGATTGACTTTTCAAAAGTGTTTGGGTTTCTTGAACGTTTTTCTGTAAATGAATAATTTAAAAAATATATATATCATTGACAAATAGTGTCAACAAACTATCAAGTTTGAAACGAACCTTCCATAAGATTGAATAAAGAATTTGATCTCTCAAATATTGATTGGTAGTCTGTAAGCAAATATAATAATAGTTAATACGGCGTATTGGTTATGCAAATCAACGACACGCATGTGTTTAAAAAGAAGTAATTCAAAAAGTACGTGACAAACAATAATTATTTATATTTTTAAGAAGTTTAAAAATCAATCACCTGTAATAAATAAGAGCCATTAGTAACGACTACCCGAAGACAGTATTTGAAATTTGAATCCCATCTTTTAACTGGATATAAATCTTTTATAGCTTCGTACCCAATAGTCTTACTAAGAAATCCACTTGGCTAAAAAACAAATAACAGAATAAAAATAAATTCATTGAATTTTAATTTTAACTCAAAAAAGTAATTTATATTCATGAAAGATAAAATAATCAAATAAATTTTATGCTGCGCGAATAAAAGTACCTTTACTTTAATCACAATTTAATTTTTTTACTTATCAGTAAGAATTTCAACCAATTATATATAAACATATGTGTGTTTACAAATACATTGTACGTACTAAACAAAAAAAATTAGTATCTGAATTCAATATGAAATATTTTTCATTTATAACATTGTCTTCTTATTTTTTAGGATAAAACATACCTATTTTAAGTGTCACCAGTTTTTATCGTTCTTGGTTACAATTGACAAAGGTTGTAGCCTTGTAGGTATGTCTATATAACTGTAGTTACTTATCACCTTATACCCAAATATTAAACGTTATTTTTATATAAATATCCTGTATCAGCTATAAACACATGTACACATTTTGTGAACAGTTTTTTTTTTTAATTTGTCCTTCGCATAAATCAAACGCTGATTATAATATTATATATTTTATATATGTTATATTTTATGAAAATTTCGAAATCTTAGCACGCGTGTATTTCATTACAAATTTAAATCGATCGACAGAAGAAGAAATGACTAAATGGCGGCAAGTGACCGTAAAATTATAAATTGTACAATGTTTATGTATACATTGTATATTGGATTATTTATATGAACATTTTGATGTAACAAAAAGAAAAATTCAAACTATTGGTTTTTAAAATATTTAACTTCGTATACTAGGGATAATATAACCATTATAATGGATAATTATTTAAACAAAGATATTAAGTCACCACAACTACTTCAGTAACGAGTTACATTTTAAGCGTTCAACATTGATATAAATTATTTTAACCTTACGCGAAGAGGTCAAATACTTAAAAGTCCTTAATTATTTGCCCACACAAAGAAATATTAATTAGCATTGGTTCAATGATTTTATGGTAAATGGCAATATCTGAACATATAGTAGGTACCTACATCGAACTTCATCGTTCATATACCTATTTTTACTACTTTACAAACATTAGCATAATATATTGTTATCGGATATAAGTTTATTAAGGATTTATTTTTTAGAAACTTTTAGTAACAAAAACATTAATTATTTTATATTTTGAAATTTAAATGTGCATTAAAAAATATTCCGCTCTGAAAGAAGGGGAGCCGAACATAGTATTCCACCCTGTTCCACTTTCCACTATCATGATCCGTGGACTTTAACAGCGCAGACAAACGTTCCACGCGACTTAGACGACAAATTCTATCAAGGATTTTATCGAACATTTCCATCAAGACGACGACAAAGACGCTGATAGTTTCGAATTCGGTCATGATGAACCGTCTTTGGATCCGATAGTCAATAGGTTCTTTTTCAACTTCTTCGTCTACAGCGCGATCGATGTAGACGGTTATCAAGTCAGCATGCGATGGCTTCGAACAAGCGTAATCGCACTGTGGGACAGAAAGCAGAGCGTCGGACCTTCCACGCCAATGCAAATCATTAGCGAATCTGAAGATCATTTGAGGAGGGAGTGAATTGGTACATAGATTGATAGGCACTAATAAAGACGTAACTAAATACACATTTCCGATTTTCATATTAAAAAACAATACCATTTTTTGTATAATTAAATTTATTTATAAGCTTGAAGTTGTAGTTATGACTTATGACGTATGATATCTATGTATATATTAATGTTATTTTTTGTGTTAATATGTCATAATATGTATAATATTATATAAAAAAATAAAATAATAATTTACAAATGTGCCAATGATGTGTATAATTTTAATATAATATATAAAAAAAAATAAACTAATAGGTATATAATTATTGTAAAATAATGGCAAATATATTAGTAATAATAATTAATAATATATACTTTATATTATACTTATAGAAAATTATTTAATATGTAAAAATACCTATATGTTAACATTGTTTTTATATTAATATTTTACTATTGACAAAAATTGTATATCATAATTTTATTATTTTAAATTTATTATATAAACACATATACTTATTATGCTAACAGGTATAGATTGAATATTTTCAAATAAAGAAAAAAAAATGTATTATATATAAATTTTTATTTTGGTCGAAAACAGACTCATTCGTTACAATAATATGTCGGTTGCCGACTAATCGCGTATCGACCATCACGATTGATTGAGATTTGAGATTGGATTGTCACGAGTGGTTCGTCATTCTAATCAGAGTACTCAGGCGAGTTATATCGTATAATATAATTTTATAATAACATTGGGTCCCACACAACTATTAATATTCATAGTGTGTTTTAGCGTTTCAGATATTAAAATATTAGTATTTCGCGAGTGAAAAAGCATTATCGACAGAGAAAAATGTGGCATGTGCGCTGCGTCGGATGACGAAAATCGTGTAAGTACATAATACTAAGTAAAATGATAGATACACCATTTCGAACGTGACAATTTCTAGATATGAGTTATAGCTAACACTAACCAAATATTCAAACGAACGTAATAATTTTTTCCGAAACTATTAGCTACTTTATAACGGTCGCACCAGTCGACATAAATATGCAACAGTTTATTCTAACAAACCTTGTTATATGATTAATAAATGGATTTTTATTGAGCTGTGGTGTCAAAAAATAGGATGAATAGAAGAAATTTATTTTAAAAATTTCAGCAATACAAGTCTACAGTTATAATATGTATTTTTTCAGTATTATTATTCTAATTTTATATAAAATCAAATTTATTATTTTAAAGAAACTTTTAAGGACTATTAGGATTCTATAAATCAATTTTAAACAACCATCACTTTAAACTTTTAAATTTTAATCCCGTGCTGTAACTGTAAATATTTTTGTTAATATAATATTTTCATTTTTAAAAAATTATTCTATGAATTCATACATTAAGTTTATATAAATATTTTAACTAAATTAAAATCTGTGCTTATATTTTTCACCAAGATAAACTCAATATATTGCTGTGTGGTTCAATTTTAATAAACATGGTATGAATTATCATTTAATTCAAACATATAATATATTCCTTCATAAACACTTTTTTTTCAACATTTGATTAACTTAAAATAATGTCATAAAACCATACATTACGCTAAAAATCATATGATGCAGCCAAAATCCATTTGAGCTCTAATTGAAAAATACAATTTCCACAGAGAAAACAGAGTAACAATTGACTTGTTATAAGATTATAGTTTTAAATATCACTTGTAGAGGTTTTGAAATTCTAAATTACAATTTCGTATGAGTAGTGTCAGAAAAAAAGCAATGGTGCATAATAGGCAGTCAATGTTTTTATCGTTAAGGGAAAAGGTGTAAATTTGGTTTCATATCAATGATAACTGTATAGCCTTCTCTATTGTATCGCACGCGAAATTCGAATCTGTTTTCTCAACCAACAATGATATATACCGTGGAACCGCTCAAAGATATTTTTGCATATTATTCGTTATAAATTATTATGACTGCCGTCAAACTGCATCGGGCACAAGAAATTATGTTATTATATTTTGTCGTTACCACGTGCTGTGGCGCAGTGTGGGTATGGCAGTACGGGATACCATATTGTACATAATATATTATTAGCTCGTTCCAACGCTCACAATGCACACATGATAAATAAAAATAACCAGCTGTAACTGAGAGATAAAGTTCAATTACGTCCATGCGTCAGCCAACGTATATTCGAACTATATAGTTAGAGTGGCGCGATAAACATTACATAACGTCGTTCTTAAAAACGTACCTACTATATTGTCTGTGTCTCACTCTCAAGTTTAAAAAAAAAAAAAACATAGTAAGCAAATATCGTATATGACTTTAAAATATAAATATGTTGTGTTCGAAGTCATTATAATATTATTATTGTCTTTCTATTACTATTCAGCTGTATAACGTACGATATCCAGCGTATATGTTATGTAAATATATACGAGGCTATAGGAGTAAAGACTATAAAAAAGTACACGCGTTTGCAGACTGCAACTACTACTGCAGCTTGCGATGTGAGTTGTGACCATCGAAGCCGGCRCATATCAGAAAATAACGAAAGGTACGTTGAATGTTTATCGTGGGTTTTACGCGTACATATAATATAAAAGTCGGCGGCTCTTATCGCGAAAACTTAGCGAATACAACGGCATAGCACTCATCCTGTTCCTGTAGCAAAATCGATATCCAACCAGAGAAAACATTAATTATATTATAGTCACGCCGAATCAGGGGCGGTTCCTGAGTTGCTGACGAGTCCCGCGGAAGGGAATGAAAATATTTTGCATATAACACGTATTATATTATAATATATAGGTACACTTATTTTTCAGTTGATGGGTATACGAGAAATAATTTTGTGAACTATATGCATATATTATATTACACATATGTAATATTATATGAAATAGTTTTTATTTATAATGAATGTTTTATGTTTTGATTAATACGATGAGTGATAACTATCAGTGTTACAACATATTTACATATTTACACAGGCTGAGGCAACCAACCTAACCTACCATTATACCGAATTAATATTTAAAAAAAAAAACTACTTAAAGCATTTCGAGCAATGGCATACTTCCCAATATTAATAATCCTACACTTTAATAGTTTAATGTAGTGTAAATAATAAATATGAATAATATGATATACAATAGTATTCAGCATAAAATATGGAACCAATGTTAGTTGTTTAATAACTACCTTGTGACAGCATAACTATAAATTAATCTAAAAGTGACTTCATAAATATAATATTTCATTAGTTATTGGAGAAACTAATAAGTAATTATATATATACTAAATAATACTTGATAGTAATAAATACCTTACATTTTAGTATCATTTAAAAATATTATTTTACCGATAAAGTACATACTGCACCTCCGTGTCTTACATTTATATAAAAAAAGAATATTTAATGATAAACCATAGGTAATTTGTATGTTAGAGTAAAACTTAATTTTAGTATAAAATTAGATCGGTAGAAAACGGAGTACCTAATAGTAAAATCAAACATTATTGATATGTGTTATTATTTTTGGATATAATCAAAATATAGAATAGAACAGCAATCTATAAGTAATATTTTAATATGGCACTATTACTTTCCTGGTTTTAAAAATAAATCATTTTTATTTGAAAAACGCTTTTTTCGTATTTTGTTTTTTTAAAACCTATAGGAAAATCCAAAAAATATAAGATTAATTTTATTTAAGTCTACTTTAGAATCTACGCATGTTATATTCTGAGCAGAGCAATGAATATATTAGTTTTACAATGATTTTCTACTTTTTTTTTTAAATATTAATTAGAACCGTTTATGACCACTAGGTTATCTTCTAACACCAAAACAACAATGCACGTAAAACATTTTGTTCTGTGTTGGGTATTATCTTAATCTTATCTAAACTCTTATTTAATTTAAAATATGTGTTAGTTTTAATCGCACGATGATAGTAATCTGTGTTCTCATAATCGCATTAGGTCTTAAATTTTTAGCATTAAGAGGACGCTACACCCGCAAGTGTTACACACGTCTTACACACGTACTACATAACAAATTTTCATTCGCTAAATTTAATATTGTGCTGTTAGTTTTGATATTAGAGTGAATTGACCCATTATCAAACTTTTTGGTAGGAACATTATCTGTGTTCTCGTGTTGGTTTTTTACGATATTTTAATTTTTAAATGAGTTATGTGAATTTTCAAATATTCACACTTAACATGCTCATAACTCATTTAAAAATTAAAATATCGTAAAAAACCAACATGAGAACACAGATAATGTTCCTACCTAAAAGTTTGATAATGAGTCAATTCACTCTAATATCAAAACTAACAGCACACTATTGAATCTAGCGAACGAAAATTTGCTATGTAGTACGCGTGTAAGACGGAGACAACACATGCAGGTTAAGAGAACGCTACACAACCCATTTGTTACCTCCGTCTTACACTCTTACAAGTGTATAACATAGCAAATTTACGCTCAGCATATCACGTTTAGCTCCGTTAGTTTAAAAATAAGAATCGACCTATTATGAAACTTGATGTTTAGAACATTATCTGTGTTTGTTTGTTGGTTTTTTATGATAACCAAGTTTTTAAGTGAGTAATGTTTTAATTTACGCTTTTTAATAGTTTTTATATACGCATAACTTGCTACAAAATTTAACTATACCACAAAAAACCCACTTACAAACACAGATAATGTTCTTAACATCAAGTTTCATAATAGGTAGATTCACTCTAATTTTTAAACTAACAGAGCTAAACGTTGAGCGTAAATTTGCTATGAACTTGTAAGACGGAGACAACAAAATGGTTGTGTAACGTCCTTTTAAACCAACCTATTCAAAATAGTACATTATGTGCATGTAGGAAACTGTCGTATTACATAACGTATTGTTAATATTATATACATATATAATACATAAATGTGTATTACGATTTCTGATTTAATTTTACCGATGAACATGCAATCCCCGTGTGCATTAATCGTTTCCTCGGATTTAAATTACCTTATATTATAGTAACTAATATGTCAAACGATTCTGTACGTATATTGCGGTAAAGGGCGTTGTGAAATATTTCGAAATGTACACAATATAATATTATCATCACAATAGATTAAATAACAATAATTAGAAATCGTACATATTATTATAGGTATTGACTATTAACGTTTAATGCCGAATACAGTTTGAGCGGGGGCAGCCATTACGTTAAATTTTCAAAAACATTTAGTGAATGCATAGTGTTGCACATAAGTACATAACAATGTAWTACATAATGTAATTCTGAAAATGTAACAAAGAAACACTAAGCACAGTGTTAATTTGGTGGCATTTTACGGGTGAAACGATTTTGGTGAAACTAAAAATAACACGCCAAATAGAGATGTGCTAATTTTTCTTTCGATCAGTGCATTTATCTTTTAATATATACACGAGTAATTGCGCACGTAATAATGTTCACGCACGTATTGCAGTACTGGAGTACAAATAAATATATTATATTATGATACATGTAAGAATATACATATATATATATATATATATATAATCCGTGATCTGTGCACATGTATATATAATATATATATATATATATATATGTGTGTGTGTGTGTGTGTGTGTGTTATATCATGTATTATATATCAGTAACTATTATGGGAGGCAGTGACGTACTAAGAGTAAAATTTGTATGACAAAATTCCAATTTATTGTAGCTCCCCGCCCACTCGAACCGTTGATAAACCACAGTGTTGAGTTTTTACACACAAGTTTGACACAGTAATGCTCTTTTATAACGGTTGGCAGATAAATGATTTTCCACTTTCGGACACGTTGCCCAAGTATTACTTAAACCTATATTCAGCACGCCAATGATGAAATTCATCATTATTATAATATTGAAAACAACGTAATATAATATACACGTAGAATGTTAGGTATGATATGATATTCGTGTGATATGAATAAATTATGCAATTAAAATTTGAAACTAAAGTGATAAATAGTAAATTTCGACGGGGAAAAAGTATGGGGATGCATTAATTATTGTAAGTACTGTAAAATTTCTTATTTTCTAAAACAAAAACTTAAGCAGTAGTCGTGGCCAATGGCGCAATCAAAAAGGTGTGCTCAGTGATCTAACTCCTACTTAAACCTTAAGGTATTAAATAAATACGATAAATGAGGTTAATTTGATCTTTTTTCTTGAATATTTTATTATTTATAAATTGTAATACGAAGTTACTGCAAGTCATACACGATGMAATCAATTAGAATAAATTATCAATTATATATTTTAATAAAAATTCCAAACATTTACATAGCTTAAGACATAAATCTAGAAGACTATATCACAGAAAAGTTTTTGTTTCATTTATTCATTGTATAATCACAAACACATAATAGTCGGTTATCAAGTATATTGATCAGTTCTTATGCTCAAATGTAGTAAAATTGTATCGATTATTATGAAAATCATGATGAATAAGTTTTGACAAGGTGGTAAAAAAATGGATTTGTATCATCGAAATGTAAATTAAAATAATATTTAGCCCTGAACGACGCACTGACATTATAACCCAATAAAATATAGGTTTAAGTTTCAATCAATTTCTGAGCAAGTTCGGGTGTACCTTTAGGAGACACCCTGTTGAAACTTTTATTCGCGAATAATATTATATCTGGTATAGCTCAGTAAACGTTATATTATTTTCTGATATAAAAAAAATTCCAATTAATGAATCCTCCGAGACTCATTTATATTGTGAAACACTTATACAGGGTGATTATTTGAATGCAAACACTTATCAACTATAAAATAATTTACAAGATTTATTTAATTAAATGTTGAACACATTTTTGAACTTGATTCGAAGTTATTACAAAATTACATTTTTGAATAAAAATTATATTTTTTACGGGACACGTTGAATATAATATATTATCATTTAACATATTTTTGGTTTCATGTTTCAAATAAAAATATTTTTCTGTATAATTGTCATCAAACATCGAACGAGTAATTTTAATAATAACTGATAACTTATAAATTATAATATAGTATTCAGAGATTATAGCTGACGATGAGTTGGGGTTTTGTGGTAGGCATCATGGAATCAAAAATGAACTCTATTGTCGTGTTTTAAAAAATGACAATGATACAAAATAGGTTTTTGTCGTAAAATAATGACGCCTAGATAAGTCGTGCATATATTCGTGTATTCTTCAAAATGGCGAGTGTTAGCCAATAAACAATTCAGCCAGTATAATATTATTGCAGGCATAATAACACAATATAAGTTCTATTATTACTGTCACTCACCGTGCTAGAAGTTATGCAATCGTCCTGTAAACGGATCTGATGATTCTCCCACCGTCTCAGATACTTGGAGCTGAGTATCTTGCTGATGATCGTGTTGGTGTGATTTAGATGGCACACGGCCACGTCCACCTCGCGGATCATGCGCAACTGCTTGCGCGCCACCTTAGTCAGGTCGGCGTCGGGCCCGGTGGCGAACGGGTAGTTGGCGCACGGCGGCGGGCTGTCGGCACCGTCAAGCCCGAAGTCGTACACGGAACCGACCCGCTTCAGCCCCGTGGGCGAGTCCGGCCCGTTGCAGCTGTCGTCTGAGGAACATTCGTCCCGGTCCGTGTGGATATCTGAACTCGACGCATCATTCGTCCTGCGAGTACGGTCTCCGCGACAGCCGACCACGCTCATGGTCGCGACGGCGTCGTCGGTGACGTAGACCACGACGGCCGACGACGGGATGGCCACAGCGGCCGCATCCACGTCCCCGTCCGACGTGGCCATGCTCCCGGCGCTGGTCATGCTGTTCGTACTGCTCGTGCTGTTCGTGCTGCTCGTGCTACACTTTCGCGTCGGAGGATCGGTCCGGAGATCGTCCACGGCCGTGATCTCGCAACTCATGCCGCTGCAGTGACGTTCACCGTGCAACACAAACGACCGTCACTGGCTAAAAAAGCATTTTCTCAATTAATCCCTGAAAATATTACGAAATAATAGTAATTATTAAATATAATATCGAGTTTTATAATACATGTACAATATTTGGACAAAGTTTCAAAGTATAATCATATGATCACTGCTTTGGTGTATCACGCATCAAATGACAAAAACGTATTAACGATTAAAATATAAACGGATGTGATTTTAGTGACGATCTGTGATGGTTATTTTTGATTGCTAAATATAAAATAGTGTCTATATAGCTCTTCAGAATAATATGATGACATCATGAGCCACAATCCGTATTAAAAAACGATCACACTCTTCGAATTAAACTCAACGAGCTCGAGCTAAGTGCATTTTGGGTATTTGCAAAAGTTAAAAATTGCGTATTAGTGTCGAAGAGGAGTTGTAGGAGTTTATTTCGCAGCGTATACAGAGGATATATGTTGATGTTATAATCTCAAGTTTCTCGTTAAATATTTTTTCCTTCATTTTGGTAAAAAAGTTATATTGTTTAATGGCTTCTTTATCATATTTTTTTTAGATTCTGAGTCGAAGAACATTTGTTGTGAATCTTTGAAGTAGAATATTTAATCTAGAACGTTATTATATCCTAGAGAGTTAAAAGTCTTTTCTAAATAATCAGAAAAACTAAAAACACCTACATTCACTAGAAAATCAATTTTCCTAGTCTAATATATGGTTACCAAAATATTTTGCTTATTTTCATTAATCATAAAGGTGTCATAGATAGATATTTGACATTTGGTGAAAAATTTGAAATGTAAAACAAAATTACCTGCTTATAATTGTTATAACAAATTGAAAATTTTAAAAATAAATAACTACAGTTTTAAAACATGACTAAACTTGGCGAAATAAAGCGTACAACAGAACGTTGGAAAAGCATTGCTAATATTAATAGAAAAGACGAAGTAATATTAACAAGACTAAGAATAAGCCATACTCGCTACACACACGGCTACCTAATGAACCGAGAAGAACAAACAGAATGCGCATCATGTGGAGTCCCCCTAACAATCAAACACATTTTTGTCGAATGCAGACAAACTGAAGCCGCCAGAAAYAAGYATRACATCCCAGAACATCTAWACGAATCACTAGGCCCGAACATAGAAACCATCACAAATACTCTAAGCTTCATCAAAGATATACAAATCGAAAATTTATTGTAAAAAATTAATCATAATATGTGATGTAAAAATAAAATCATTGTAATAACTAATCTTCTTAAATTGTTAATTGCCAAACGTCAAACAGTGGCCTTCGCTGCCGAAGCTTATTCTAATAAAAAAAAATTTTTAAAAAAACCGATTTTTCCTTAAACAATATTTTGTTGTAAGTTGTAACTCAAAAAATATTAACTGGAAACTTTCTTCTATTTCGTATCATATTCTTTTAATTTTATACTTTACTTAATACAACTTAAAATTATGTACCTAACTATATGGATCAAATGTTAGAGGAGTAAAAAAGGAAAAAAATATGCACGAAAAATTGTAAAATATGCATACTTATTTTTACATAGCGTTGCAAATTTATACAATGTACATGTTATATATTCTACTTACTAAGCAAACATAGTAGCTAAACTGTTCTAACGATTTTCCAAGCCAGAAATTTTAAATAACGTAATGAATTCTTTGTAAAAAACATAAAAGTGATACAGAATGATGGCACTTTAATAAAATTAATGTATTCTAAAATTTATAATCTTATAAATATTATATTTTAGCTAAAAAAAGTAAATTTTTGTATTTTTTGAGAAATCACTTCAGATATGATAGCTATATAATAATAATAATAATAATAGTCATATATAGCTATAATAATCATAATATTATGTAATACTATATTCACATATACAATATTTAATATCGACGTAATATACTTTTAAACAGTTGTCAAATTGTCTCGAATCCCGTTTTTGGTTCAATCAAATCAATAGGTATATAACATAATACAATTTGCAATATAATGAAATACATCGAATTGTGTCATTATAAAATTAGTTTTGTTGCGTGTAAACTGAAATCATTCCTAGATCCTTAAAAAAAATTAAAAATTAAAATAGTTATATTAGGTACTATATATAATATGCCATACGTGTAATAATATGTCGATAGGAGTACAAAACATTTGTAAACACGAAACACGCGCACATTATATAGTATTATCACACATTCGCATAAAACCATATTGAGTATACTTTATTGATAGCCAAATAAATTAAATGCTTTGATCTCTAAAATTTATTATTATTTATTATACATAATGGCGATGAACTAAAAGGTTATTTGAAAACGCCAGGAGTCCTTTAAATGTCAATTACAAAATCAAATATTCCTATACATACGATTGCAAAATAAAATAAAAATATGTTTGCAGGGTACGTGCGTTGTGCAGGCTGATGAAATGTTTTCCTCGATTATATAAATGAGAATAATGACCCTAAATAAATGATCAAGCAATAGCTTTAAAAATATTTATAATAACCACTTTCCATGTTGCTGCTAAAAACCCACCTATAAATAATAGGTTTTTAAACTTTTTTTCTTCTATGTAAAAATGTAGGAACATATTTTAAAAATGCGCTTTTATTGAAAAAGATACAGTTTCATAATTTTTGTCACTTAATTTATTCGGAAATAATTTTTTTTTTTTTCTTATAAAACAATGTAATTTTAGGACTTTGAGAAAAAGTATGTAATATATTCCGTATGCCTATAGGTAAATAATATTATTTTATCATTAAATCAAGTTCTAAATTGTTTATATAGCTTGATAGATGACTAGACGAGGAACCCGAATGAGTTAAATTAATTATTACCACGCACAATATACAAAAATATATAATATTCATTATTTGCCAAGTATTAATATATTTCAAAATTATAAGGAAACTCAATCAAACTTCAACTACAACGAAAGATATATTTTTCAATACAAATTTTTTGTTTTTACTGAAATTAGAGAATGCAATGTGATTCACCAAAGTATGCTCACCTCCATGTATTTTATTTAATTTATTCAAATTCTGATTTATAGAATTTTCAATTATATTTAAGTACTTGCCATATTTTCAATTATTTTGATCAAAGGAATTTTCTGTCGTAATTCAAACATTTTTTTTTTCAATTGAGAACTAAACTCCTTTAGGTACTGCAAATTATTTTATTTTTTTAAATTATAATGTCTCTATACATTAAAATTAGAATAAGTGGTTTCTGAATTATTAATATATTATGTAAATTGCATATTATACTAAAAAAATAGTACTTAAAAATTATATAACAAAAATATAAAACCAATTTATATGATATACAGTTATATTATTACTATATTATTATTGGTTGATGGTTCTAATATTTATTATAGGTATATTTAAAAATTCTTAAAAATTATAAAATTATGATAGATTAATATTGATCTATCAAGTTTTTAGATCTTCTGAACCCATAATTATTGAACCATTCTGCTTAGAATACAAGGTTAAATAACTCAAAAAATACTTCTAAAATTTCTATTTATGTATGTCAACATTTTCAAAAAATCATCTGGTTAAAAATTGAAAAATGAGCTATTCTTATTTGAATATAACAATTTCGATACGGCACAGAACACAACTTAATGTGTATAACAAATCTAAATAATTTAAAATATGGAATTTTTGTAATATTAAATGTTCCAAAACTCATAATTTAAATAAATGCATTATTAAAAGGAAAAATAGGAATGAATATGTTCATGAATCACTCTGTACATTACTAAACGAATCAAAACTCTATACCTTGGTAGATATCGAAAAATTCATCATAGATGATATTATTAGTACAAAACACGAGTATTTCAGAGATTAAATTATATTTTTACATAGACGATATATCGTGCAGTTTTCTCGTGGTAATATATCATCCGTAATAATATTATGTATGCAGGTATTATAATAGCAAAAACAAATACGATACGGTAAACGGAGTGAGGGGTATCGTATATGACCCTCTCTCCCCGCGTCAGTGTATTTACGGCACTGCAGAACTGTATACTTAAATGATATTATACATCAATACTGTTACGGTTTTTTTTTTTTTTTTGTATAGAAATACACAATATAAAATTACATGCACGACGATTTTACCAATATATTGTACCAATATACCTATACCGAGAGGATGATTGTGGGAATAAAATAAAGTGTGCGTACACCTGAACACTAGAACGCTTTCACGTGCGAGCTTGCGCGTGTTGAAAATATACAAATTTATACTATAATATAATATTGCACTGTACCCACCCATATAATATTATGTCTATCAACATCGTACACGCAGAGTATAGATAATAATATAAAATAATAATATATTACCACGATCGATGAAGGCGAAAAAAACAATAGAACTGAACTATAGGCATGCTATTTTTTACCATTATAATATTATTATTATATTATTATAAAGTCCAATTAATAGCGTCCAATATACATAACGAGTAGCTAGTTATTCCGTTTTATAAGCGATTTTAATGATATCATTATTATAATAAACATAGGAATAACATACGATAAACAATTATTATTATTACATTATGATTATTGTTATTCGTGGCAACGCACTGACTCGAACTGCAGCTTTTTAAACATTATTCACGCACCGAACACGCGACTATGATAATAATATTAATATAGTAACGTGAAGTTATCCATTTTAATAATAAAAATAATATAATACAGAGGTTTGCTCGCAGCCACCTACACTATGAAATATTAAAAAATATGAATTTTAAATACATTAATGGACGGCCGAAATATTTATATCATTATTATTATTATTATATTGCTAACCGCGGACACGAATCGCACTGAAACGTAAAACTGCACAGTACAGACATACAACTCGTACAACATACGTACGTAATATTGTAATAATATTATAATCGCGTTCGGTCGACGAGTCTATTTCGTTCGAAGCGTCTGCAGTGTGACGTAGCAGATATGTAAACGTCAAACTATCAGAACAATATATAGGTACCTATACGGAATATAATTATTGTAGGTATATCATTATAATTATTTATATTATACGTGTATTATATTATGTTCGTCACATGGCATTATCGTTATTAAATGTAATAAAGTAAAATACCTCTATACATAGTTATATATTTAATCGCCATTGCTGTAGCCAAACTAATTGAGCGGGGTTATGAAGTTGAAATTTAGGGCCTTTTTTAAACTATAACAACGACTATTATGTATAGTTAGATAATTAATGGTTGTTGAGACCCACACATGATTACCTGTGTATTTATATAATATACGGTTATAATATAGAATATTTTTACTACCTACCTAATTATAATTATTTTTAACAGTTTCATTATGATCCATAAGAATTAAAAGTTATATTGAACCTTATGTTATCGTGCAATAAGTAGATCTAAATCGTATGGTACAAAATTAAAAGAGTTTTGAAAATGTATTAAAAATCATGATAAATAAAAATAAATTTAAATTACAGAGATCAACCTGTGTGAGCAATAAACTTAAAAAGGAAAAGTCAGTAACCATTCTGCTGAGCATTGTACTTCATCATTGAGTGTAAAATAGGTATGAATGAAATTCGAAATCTTATGAATTATTATCCACAAAATAATCTGTAAATTTTCACGATTTTGCAGAATTTCGTCAAAATTCTAACTTAAAACGTTTTCAAAAGACTGTTGTTGTGTAAAATTTGCCATTTTCCGGTATTTAATGACTATAGTATCAGTATACTAAGTGTAAAAATTTTCTTCAGTTACTGTATTAAGCGAATATTACTATTAACTATCAAATTTATCAAAGAGCTTGCTTATTGTAAATATTTTATTATAAATAATTTGACAATTTTGAAAAAACATATTAGATTACCTATATTTGCCATGTTTTACGAGACGCACTAGTATAATAATAAAATTAAGATCATCCATAAATTAAATACATTAACTTTTCCTCAATTTTTTTATTTTTGAATAAGTATTGGTTAACCCTTTTAAAATGTACATGTTATGCACCAAGATAATGCTTTAAATATAAAAAACCTTAGTATTCTGCTAGTCCTTTATATTTAATTTAATAAATTTAAGACGACTAGTTTACTTTCATTTTTAGAAAAAAATGTATTTCTAATAAATTTACTAATTTATGTTAGAAAAATCTTTGATGGGCCACTAACAATAACTCAGACATTTAAAACATGTCTTAAAGAAGAAGAAATATTTTAATCA